ATATGTGTACTCCTGCTTGTGAACTGGCCTTGTGGCCTTGAACTTGTGCTCGGAATGTGTGGTGACTTTGTGATCCACCCTGAGCTTGTTTCTGCTTTGCTTTGCTTGACTGGTCTTGTGACCCCTTGTTCTCCCCCACTTTGCCTATGGGGGTGTGTCAGATTTATATGACATAGCTACTGTAGGCTATAGTGGGGTAGCACATATGGGGTACAGTTTTCTAGGGTTTGCTTCTTGTACCCAACTTTCACTTAGTCATTTCATTCCTCGTTTCTCCTCAGTGCCGTCAGCTTTTGTCTTCACACGGAAGACCCACTTTCCGGTGAGAATGGTCTTGTTCCGTACTACGCCGATGGGAACTACTTTCCACGTGTTGCGTTCCTCTAGTGCCTTCAGTTCCTTGTCCATGGCTTCGCGCCATTTTTCCTTATGCTCCCCCCCCAGAGCCTGCTGAACTGTCGCAGGCTCTTTAGGAATGGCTGCGCCGTGAACTGCGGTGACGAGACCAAGGATTTGGAGCCCACTCTGTGTGTAGCGAGGGAGTGAAGTATCCTCTGGATAAACTGCTTCGTCTCCCGCTTCTCGATCAGGTGCGAAATTAGGTCCGACGCGTTCTGCTTCGTCGGTGTTGACTTGTGCAGGTGTAACGTAACCGTTGTCAGCGAAATAGTAGTAGGCGTCGGCGTTGATGCTTTCGCGTGGGTTTTCGTCGTCCATTGGTACGTTGACGGAGCAGTAGGGGAGGGGTCCGGCTTCTTCCGAGGCTCCTTCCACGTTCTGCTCGTCCCAGTCAGCTTCGTTTTCTGCCGAAGCGAAGGCTCGGTCTCCTCGGAAGCCACCTGTGGGGTCTTGGTTTTCGTCCAAGTTGGCAAGGTACGTCTGCAGTGTGAGCCGCTCGTAGAAAATGACATCACGTGCTGCCACTGTTTCTTTTGTCGCGACGTCGAAAATCTTCCATGCGTTGTAGTGTTTTTCGATGCCCAGGTGTAGTCCCCACTGTGCGCGCTGAGAGAATCGTCCTGCTCGTGCAGATGGGGGTCGGTACTGTACCATGCAGCCGAAGACTCTCAACAATTTTGTGTTGCCCAATTTTCCTGTCCACAGCAGGTGCGGTGATGCGTTGTTCGGTAGTGACGACGAAGAAAGCAAGTTGTGCAGCATCACGGCGTGGTCCATTGCTTCTGGCCATTGGTGAGAGGGTAGCTGCATGCCACGTAACAATTTCCGCATGGTGTTCTGGAGGGTCCTGTTCATCCTCTCTGCTACACCCTGCTGTTGATGGGCGTAGGGAAGGGAAATGAGCCGCTTGATTCCTTTCTCTGCCAGGTACTGCTTGAACTTTTGTGAGGTGTATTCTCCTCCCCCGTCTGACTGGAAGCTTTTTAGTTTGACGCCCGATTCCCTTTCTGCTACGGGGAGCCAGGCAACGAACGCTTCGAACGCCATATCCTTGCTTGGAAGATTCAGGTGCCAAACGTAACGTGTCGCGGCGTCGATGAACGTGATGGTGTAATTGTACGCGTTCTGCCCCGGTTCGCGATTGTACAGGATGTCGCTGTACACTTTCTCGAGTGGTGCGTAAGCTGGTGCGCTTGGGTTATGGTGAGACGCGAACGGTTGATGTGGTAAGTCAGCTTCAGGGCAGGTGAAACACGTTCCATGTACGCGTTGAAGTTCTCTTCCATCAGTCAGTAGTAGTGAGTCCTTGTCGAGTACTCCTGCTCTTATCGTATTATTTAATACTGTGTTGCTCGGGTGTCCCATCCTTGCGTGCCAGGTGCTTTCGTCGGCGCGGTGTCCGGGCGAGCGTCGGTACGTGTCGGAGTTGGAGTAGAAGCCGGCGGTGACGTTCGCGCTTCGGTGGACTTCTCGTCGTGTCGGGTTGAGCTGTTGCGCGGGTGTCGGTGGTGTGTCGTCGAGGAGTGGTGCCGTTGAAGGACCAGCGGCTGGTGTTGAAGTTCCTGCTGTTCCCGATGATGTTCCTGCTGCTGCCAATGTTGTCTCTGCTGCTGCCGACGTTGTCTCTGCTGCTGCCGACGTTGTCTCTGCTGCTGCCGACGTTGTCTCTGCTGCTGCCGATGTTGTCTCTGCTGCTGCCGATGTTGTCTCTGCTGCATGTTGAATTGTCGCTAACGCTCTTGTCCTTTCTGTCTCAGGGATGGTGTGTGAGTACCAGAAACCGCCAGGACTGAAGTCTGGATCAAGGTCTGGAGGGTGTGTCCAGTTGGTGAAGTTAACGATGGCGTCGCTGTCGGCGGTGCCGAGATCAGGAACGAAGCCAAGAACGAAGACGTTGTTCTTGAGGATCGCCTTGCCGATGTAAAGCCCTCCTCTCCCGTGATACAACTTGAATTCTTGGGTGGTGCTGTCTGCTTCGAGGTGAATCCCCTTCGCCATTAGCTGACTAACGCTTAGTAAGTTGTAGCCGAGGCCTTCTGCGATTAGGACCTTGGACATCTGTAGGATGACATTTGTTTCTCGTGACTGTAGTTGAACAACTCCCTGTCGTCGTGTGCGCAGGTTCTGATTGTTGGCGACGGTGATGACTACTTCACGTTGAAGTTGGTATTCTCGTTGCACGAAGCGCCCTAAAGAACACATGTGCTGTCCGCAGCAGCTGTCCAAGAACCACGTGTCCTTCCCGGATGGTTCGCTCTGGGCGATAGCTGCGTATGTCGGATTCGGCTCCAGTGTCTTACGGTGTGGAGTTCTTTCATCAAGTTGTTCTTCTGGTGAGTAGTATGGTGGTGATCCCGTGATGCAAGAGTCGCTCAGCCTTGTCATGCAGCTGACGATGTTTCTTGCTCCTTATGCAGGTTGTCCCGTTGAAGTCGTTGAGGCTTGAATCTGGGTCGAAGGATTTGCTTGTGTCGAAGCGACTTGATTGCTTGAAGGTCGAAGCTATCGCTGTGGCGTTGTTGATTGTTGTCGATTCGGGCAGTGTGTACGCGGATGTCCTGAAGTTTTGCAGATGTGGCAGAACGGAGGTACGGGCTTCGGCTGTTGCTGCCGGTTGTTGTTGTTGTTGTAGCGTCGTTGAGTGTGGAACGCGAATTCTGGTGCTGATGTCTTCCTTTTATGTCGTTCTTCTTGCAGGTCCATGTCTTGCTGTTCGGCGTGGATTTCGGCGCAGAGCGCTGCTTCGGAGATTCTTCCGTGGGCCCGGAGAATGGCCTTTGTTGCGCGCCATTGAGGACCGAGGCCGCCAATGATAACTGTCACGAAGGCGTCTTCAGAAATCGACCCTCCGCATCGAAGAAGCTTGTCACGCAGCTCGCGACATCGGCTGATATACGCCATTCCTTTCTCGCCTGGTTTCATTTCGACCGTTGTCAGTTGCGCCATTAACCGACTTTGATTTACGCTGTCTGTTGCTTGATACAGGCTCTTCAAGTGGTTGTACGCGAGCTCCGCGGAGTTGCCATAACCCCGGTAAGACCGTATATTCTGCTGTTGGGACGGGGTGATGTTTCTCAGTAGAATCGTGTACGCCATCATCGACTGATAGGTGTACTGCTGCTTCTCATACTGTGTGCCGTTCGTTGGGTATGGCAGGGACCCGTCGAAGAAGCCAAGTATCTGCGCGCCTTCCATCATTAACTCGAATTCAAACGACCAGGTGAAGAAATCCTTTCCATCGAAAGGTCTTGACGTCTGCATCTTTAGAACGTGCGCGAACTGCGACTGAACTTGTAATGCGTCCAGTGGCTTTTCTTGTCCAGGTGAGGGCTGCGGGTGAGGCATGAAGCTGATGGACCCGCGCTCGTACGGAGCAAAGGTAGGCTGCTGTTGATTTCCTCGTGCGTATGATGAGCCGTCGAAACTCATGGGAGTTGCTCCGTTGTTGTTGTTGCTGTTGTTCGACTGCGCAGGTGCCGACTGTTGGTGTTGCTCGTAGAAGGACATGAAGGAGAAAAACTTCTCCATCATGCTCTGATCGAAGCCTGCAGGTTGATTTGCAGGAGTCTCGGTGGATGTTGCCCTGGGTCTTGTTGCCGTACCCTCCTCTGTCTGTAGGCCAGAGGCAGGAGGTGGAGTAGGAGTAGTGCCCTGGGAGCCGTTGGAGTTGCTCCTTTCCTTTTGTGTAGCCATGCTTGTTGATGTTGTCGGTATAGAAGTTGAATTCCCCCTGATAGCTCTCATACCATGTTGGGCTGAAAAAGCCCTTAGGATCTTTGCAGGGGTGAACTCTGGGTAGAGTTGTTGTAATAGCGGAAGCGTTAATTAAAGAGTTGTGAACCACCTTGCGCTAGTATGTGAGGGCAAAGTAGATTGATTAAAGCAAAGAGATACAAGCTTATATAAGAGTACAAGGGATACGAAGAGACACGGTTGTAACTACTTTACTGTTGCTGTTGCGGTTCGATACAGTGACGACTCGGGCAACTGCTCTGTAGCGAGTCAGTTGTGTGTCCTTGCTGTCACGCTGTACTTGTCAGGTCAAAGGTCGCTGACCTTTGACTTTCGCGTAACCTCCAGCGGTTACTTCAACCTCCGAGGGTTGACTCGCTGGTGCCTCGATATGCTTTGCTTCGCTTGTGTCTTGGTGTTTCGACACGACAGAGGCGCTTAAGACTGATTGTTTCCAACAGAACTTACTTTGTTTTTTGTTGGATCGTGTAAACTTCACTGTTTTCTCAGGACGCGTCAACTCCGGCAAATTTTGGCGATCGATCCTGCGCAGGATCAAATTTTGACTGGGTTGAAAAAGGTTTAAACACATTTTGAATGCAGTTGCGAGAGTGAAGTGCGGTGGACGATCGATATTGCACGATCGATCGCCGTTTTTTGCAGGAGTTGACGCGTCCTCAAGTAAGCACATCATCTTAGCCTGAAAACGAGGGTAACGAAAAAATCCACATTGATAATCAGGGTTAAAAAAACAAAAGATCTGCTTGCTCGTACCCTATTCATGCTATTGATTTCTCTTTCTGCCAAGAAATGCCTGCTCGCCTGTAGCAGTAGACGACAGGGTCACACAACTCACTAAACTCGCACTCTTACTCACCCCCGCCCACTGCTGCTGCCCTGTGATAGTACCAAGGGGTGAGAATAACGACAGTAATCGTGCTTCAGCATCTGCCTCTGCCTCGAAACCTGCCTTTGTGCCTGCCTGTGTCCCTGCCTTTGTCCCTGCCTTTGTCCCTGCCTTTGACCCTGCATTTATATCTGCCAATGACCCTGCTTTTGAGGTGAAAGCACTTGCACTTTGAGACGACTCAAAATACATTTCGTTCTGTGCTGATCCTGCCGCTACCACTGCTTCTGCCGCCGCCGCCGCCGCCGCCGCCGCTGCTGCTCCTGTTGCTTCTTCTGCCCGGATTTTTGCGTTGGAGGGGTTGAAAACTGCTCTTTGTGTCGACACTGCGGCCATTGCTGCTGCTCCTCCTGGTGGTGCTGTTTCTGCCGGCGCTGCTGCTGCTCCTGACGCTGCTGCTGCTCCTGACGCTGCTACCACTGCCGACGCGGCTGCTGCTGCCCAGATGCTGGCGATCGTGGGAAGGGCAGTTGCAACTGACCGAGGTGGGAAAAGACAAGCTGGGGATAAAGGCTTCTCTTGAGGCGACTCAAAAGCCGTGGGAAGGGCAGCTGCGGCGGGCCGCGGGGGGAGAAGCCGGGCTGGAGAGTGAGAGGGGGGGCGGTATCCAAGGTCAGCAGCAGACGTTGTTCCTCTACCATCCACCCGCCTCCTCTTCGCACCTCCCATGCTCGCCTCATTCTCAGAGCCGCCTGTCGGCCTGGCATCCAAAAGGCCTCTCATTCTCCTCCCAAAGCTTCCCTTCATCACGTCTGCATCGCCGCTGGCGCTTGGCACGCCCTCTCCTTTCAACTTCAGCTCCGCCTCACCTCTGGAACTTAGCACTGGCTTTCCACTCGCACTGAGCACTACCTGCTCTCTGCCACTAGCCGCTGCCTGTCCACGTGGCCTTTTCTTACCATGAGCAGTGCTCTCAGGCCCCAAACTCACACCAGCCTTCCTCCCATCTGTGCCCCACTTAGTCACGCGCCACTTAGTCACGCGCCAATCAGTCACACCGGCAGCAGTCACAGTCACACTTGGCCTTTGTTGCTTGTCTGGCGCATTCTCTTTCGCGCTCTCATTGCTTCCATACACCTCCGTCCCTTCCATATTTCCCTTCTTGTCCGCTCTGGTTTCCTCAACTGCCCCTTCAACTGCCCTTTCAGTTGCCCTTTCAGTTCCCCCTTCCTGTTGCTGCTGCCTCTGCTGCTGCTGCCATTCCCCCTCCCGATCTTCTTGTTCCAGCCGGTGTAATTCCAGCAGCTGCTGCTGCAGCTTCTCTCTCTCTTGCTCCTCCAGTTTGTGAGATTGTATTTGCTCCTGCTGACTCTGTTGCTGCTGCTGCCGTTCCCCATCCCGCGCTGCTTGTTCCAGCCGGTGTAATTCCAGCAGCTGCTGCTGCAGCTTGTGAAGTGCTCCTGCTTGTCCCCTCTCTCCCTTTCGTGCCTCCTCTGCCCCCTCTCCTTTGCATTGCTCCCTCTCAACCTGCTGTTGCTGCTGCTGCTGTTGTTTCTGCTGTAGTTGCTGCTCCTGCTGCTGCTGTTGCTGCTGCAGCAGCTCTTCAAATATTTCCTTCCCTTGTTGGCAACCCGTCTCGTTCTCTTCCTCCCGTTGCCCCTTCTCCCAGTCTCCGCCTTTTCGCTTCTCCCCATCCCCACTTTCCCCCTTCTCCCTAACCTCCTCTTCCTCCTTCCTAAGTATCTTCCCCTCCCTTTCCTCCTCTTGCACCATCCACCCCTCAACCACACACACAGGGGGTGGCACTGACTCTCCAGTAAACCCACACGTGTCCCACACAACCCTCCTAGCCCTCTTCCTCTCTCGCCCTTCCCCACAACTCTCCCCATCATCACTACTACGCCTCTCTGCACACGCTGACGCACCTCCCTCATCTGCGGGTAAGTCCGGCCAGGCTTGCACGAGACCCGCCCCGCCCTTGCCCCATGACCACACGCCCCTCTTCACTGCACCACCTGCTGTTGCAGTAACTGCAGCAGTAGCAGCAGGAGCAGCAGCAATATCAGTAGCAGCAGCAGCAGCAGCGAAAGCAATGCTAGAGCAACCGCCAGGTGGCATTTCACTGCGAGAGACGGAGACCCAGGGAGCAGCAGTGGCAGCAGTAGCAGTGGTGGAGCCCCCCCCAAGGGACAGGGAGAGGCTCAGATCGACCACTTCAGAGTGGGGAGCTGAGGAAGAGCATGCCAAGGGGTTTGAGAGGGGTACTGGACGGTTGGGAGGATAGTCGGGGAATCGACGAGCCTGAAACGGCTGATACCTCCACTGCTGCCAGGTCGGTGCAGGCATATCTGGTGGAGGTATATCTGGTGAAGGTATGTCTGATGAGGGCATATCTGATGGAGGGTTGGTGGGACACGTGGTTGACGGAAGAGCCGGGAATGGTTGGTAGCCCATCTGCCAGGTCGGTGAACGTATGACCGGTGGAGGTATACCTGGTGGAGGTATACCTGGTGGAGGTAGACCTGGTGGAGGTATAAAAGTTGGGATGTCCGCATCTAAAGGTGCCCGCTCCTCTCGTTCCCACAGAGCCTTGAGTCCACGCCCAGTGCCTCTCTCTCTGCTGCCACGTGACCTGCTTCTCAGCCGCCCACCCCGTGCCATCTCCCGTGAAAACAGCGGCAGCAACATCCACTCCTTCTCTGCCTGCTTCCCTGCCATAACATCGTCTCTCACCGCTCTCACTGCTCTCTCTTCTCGCACTTCTCTCATAAAACCACCTGCTAGAATAGCCTTGCCATTCTCTCCCTTGCCAACCATCAATCCATAATCAAGAGATTCAAAAGCGCTATCATCACTCACCCCTCCCTTCTCCCTCGTCTCCTCCGATTCTCCCGATGTCGAAGGCCCGCTATCCTGATCCGTCCCCCCCGCACCCTCCACGTCAGCAGAGCTGAAAGATCTCAGCCGTTGATTACTCCGCCCCCCTTGCGTCCCCTGCTGCCCCTCCTGCTCCAGCCGCTCTTGCTGCTGCAGCTGCAGCTGCTGCTGCTCCAGGTGCAAGAGCAGGAACTGCTGCCGCAAAAACTGCTGCCGATGCAGAAGCAAACGTTGCGCTTCTGCCTCCACAGCAGCGTATGCTTGCAGCTGCAGCTGCTGCTGGTGTAAAATTGCCTGCCGCTGCAGCAAATGCTGCTGCTGCTCCTGCTCTTGCTGCTGTATGGGGAAAAGTTGGTGGCGGCTGTGCTGCTGTTGATGCTGGTGGTGATTATGGTGTTGTCCCTGCTCGTGCTCCTGGTGCTGCATTGAAAGGACATCGTGCTGCTGCTGATGGTCCTGCTGCTGCTGCTGCAAAACCAAGTGCTCTTGTTTCTGCTGCTGCTGCTGTCGTTTCTGCTGCTGCTGCTGTCGTTTCTGCTGCTGCTGCTGTCGTTGCTGCTGCTGCTCTGCGTGTTGCAATAGCAGCTCCTTTCCCCGTTGCTCCTCCTGTCGCTGCTGCTGCTGCTCCGGTAGCTGCTGCTGCTCCCACAGTATCTTTTGCTGAGCAACACACTCCTCCCCAATCAGCAAGTCCAGGCGCGGATCCTCCAACCCTAGAATAGACCGTTCCAGCACTCCCATACCCTCACACCCCCATACCCCAGCACCATCACCATCCACACCATCAACCCCCATACAATCAGTCCCCATACCATCTATCGCCAGCACACCGCCACGATCTACCAAACCCTTCCCCAGGCCCATGTCCCTGACGCCCTTCATCCCAGGACTTGTCTCAACCGAACCCTTCCCCAGGTCTGGCTTCAAGGGGTCTTGAGGCGTCTCAAACTCCACCTCGTGCTCCGACACCCACGGATGGGCGACAATTGACTTGTGAGGTGCCTCAACAGCCGTCTTGTTTACGGATAGCCAGGGATGGGAGAGGACTTGGTGGGCCGTGGGGCGGGCGGCGGGGTCGAGGGAGAGCATGGCGCGGAGGAGGGCCTTGGCGGCGGGCGAGAGGGCGACGCACGCGGGCGACGAGAGGTCGAGGCGGCCCGAGCAGATGGCCTCGAACGTCTGCAGCGACGTGGCCCCCCAGAAGGGCACGAAGCCTGGGAGCGAGGAGAGATGGGGAGGGGAGGGAGGGGGGTGGAAGAGGGACTAGATGGTGAGGGATGGGAGTGAGTGAGGGAGGAGAAGAGCAGATGGCTTTGAAGGTGCCTCCCAGAGCACGAGGCTTGTGAGCGGAGGGAGGGGGTGGTGGTGGGGGGAGTTGGTTTTGAGGAGAGAGAGGGGGAGGGGTATGATGGCTTTGAGGGTCCGTCCGAGGGCTTGAGAGAGGATGAATCCCACCCAGAGCCTCTCACCACACATCATGCTTTCAGTCGACTCCAAAACTGACCACACGTCAAGCCGTGCTGGTCCGGCAGCTCCAAGGACGCTCAGCGTCCACCAGGGCAACCCCTTAGCCAAACCAGACCAAACCGCACCAAACCGCACCTGAGAGCATGATGTAGAGGATGACCCCAAGGCTCCACACGTCTGCTGGCAGACCGTACCTGCCGCCCCGAACCACCTCTGGAGCCATGTAGTACGAGCTGCCGACCCTCCCTCGAGCCTCGGCGCCAGGCTGGGTGTGCAGGAACAGAGCAAGGCCGAAATCGCCAAGCCTCATGAGGAGACTGGTTGGAGGAACGGGCGGGGCGGCTGGAGCAGGAGAAGCAGGAGCAGCAACAGCAGCAGCAGAAGTGCTGGCGCTGGTGCAAGCATTGGGAAAGGTTGTCTGAGCAGCAGCAGGAGCAGGTGGAGGTGGTGCAGCAGGATCGAGGGAGAGGAAGATGTTTTCCGGCTTGATGTCCCGGTGGATGATGCCAAGGCCGTGACACCCCGCCACTGCCACCACTATCTGCCTGCACGGGAGGAAGCAAGCACGCACGCGAACACAGACAGAACAGACGACGCAGGGGAGAGGAGGCAGGATGTTCGGTGGCTGATCCCAAGGCCGTGACACCCCGCCACTGCCACCACTATCTGCCTGCACGGGAGGAAGCAAGCACGCACGCGAACACAGACAGAACAGACGACGCAGGGGAGAGGAGGCAGGATGTTCGGTGGCTGATCCCAAGGCCGTGACACCCCGCCACTGCCACCACTATCTGCCTGCACGGGAGGAAGCAAGCACGCACGCGAACACAGACAGAACAGACGACGCAGGGGAGAGGAGGCAGGATGTTCGGTGGCTGATCCCAAGGCCGTGACACCCCGCCACTGCCACCACTATCTGCCTGCACGGGAGGAAGCAAGCACGCACGCGAACACAGACAGAACAGACGACGCAGGGGAGAGGAGGCAGGATGTTCGGTGGCTGATCCCAAGGCCGTGACACCCCGCCACTGCCACCACTATCTGCCTGCACGGGAGGAAGCAAGCACGCACGCGAACACAGACAGAACAGACGACGCAGGGGAGAGGAGGCAGGATGTTCGGTGGCTGATCCCAAGGCCGTGACACCCCGCCACTGCCACCACTATCTGCCTGCACGGGAGGAAGCAAGCACGCACGCGAACACAGACAGAACAGACGACGCAGGGGAGAGGAGGCAGGATGTTCGGTGGCTGATCCCAAGGCCGTGACACCCCGCCACTGCCACCACTATCTGCCTGCACGGGAGGAAGCAAGCACGCACGCGAACACAGACAGAACAGACGACGCAGGGGAGAGGAGGCAGGATGTTCGGTGGCTGATCCCAAGGCCGTGACACCCCGCCACTGCCACCACTATCTGCCTGCACGGGAGGAAGCAAGCACGCACGCGAACACAGACAGAACAGACGACGCAGGGGAGAGGAGGCAGGATGTTCGGTGGCTGATCCCAAGGCCGTGACACCCCGCCACTGCCACCACTATCTGCCTGCACGGGAGGAAGCAAGCACGCACGCGAACACAGACAGAACAGACGACGCAGGGGAGAGGAGGCAGGATGTTCGGTGGCTGATCCCAAGGCCGTGACACCCCGCCACTGCCACCACTATCTGCCTGCACGGGAGGAAGCAAGCACGCACGCGAACACAGACAGAACAGACGACGCAGGGGAGAGGAGGCAGGATGTTCGGTGGCTGATCCCAAGGCCGTGACACCCCGCCACTGCCACCACTATCTGCCTGCACGGGAGGAAGCAAGCACGCACGCGAACACAGACAGAACAGACGACGCAGGGGAGAGGAGGCAGGATGTTCGGTGGCTGATCCCAAGGCCGTGACACCCCGCCACTGCCACCACTATCTGCCTGCACGGGAGGAAGCAAGCACGCACGCGAACACAGACAGAACAGACGACGCAGGGGAGAGGAGGCAGGATGTTCGGTGGCTGATCCCAAGGCCGTGACACCCCGCCACTGCCACCACTATCTGCCTGCACGGGAGGAAGCAAGCACGCACGCGAACACAGACAGAACAGACGACGCAGGGGAGAGGAGGCAGGATGTTCGGTGGCTGATCCCAAGGCCGTGACACCCCGCCACTGCCACCACTATCTGCCTGCACGGGAGGAAGCAAGCACGCACGCGAACACAGACAGAACAGACGACGCAGGGGAGAGGAGGCAGGATGTTCGGTGGCTGATCCCAAGGCCGTGACACCCCGCCACTGCCACCACTATCTGCCTGCACGGGAGGAAGCAAGCACGCACGCGAACACAGACAGAACAGACGACGCAGGGGAGAGGAGGCAGGATGTTCGGTGGCTGATGCCAAGGCCGTGACACCCCGCCACTGCCACCACTATCTGCCTGCACGGGAGGAAGCAAGCACGCACGCGAACACAGACAGAACAGACGACGCAGGGGAGAGGAGGCAGGATGTTCGGTGGCTGATCCCAAGGCCGTGACACCCCGCCACTGCCACCACTATCTGCCTGCACGGGAGGAAGCAAGCACGCACGCGAACACAGACAGAACAGACGACGCAGGGGAGAGGAGGCAGGATGTTCGGTGGCTGATCCCAAGGCCGTGACACCCCGCCACTGCCACCACTATCTGCCTGCACGGGAGGAAGCAAGCACGCACGCGAACACAGACAGAACAGACGACGCAGGGGAGAGGAGGCAGGATGTTCGGTGGCTGATCCCAAGGCCGTGACACCCCGCCACTGCCACCACTATCTGCCTGCACGGGAGGAAGCAAGCACGCACGCGAACACAGACAGAACAGACGACGCAGGGGAGAGGAGGCAGGATGTTCGGTGGCTGATCCCAAGGCCGTGACACCCCGCCACTGCCACCACTATCTGCCTGCACGGGAGGAAGCAAGCACGCACGCGAACACAGACAGAACAGACGACGCAGGGGAGAGGAGGCAGGATGTTCGGTGGCTGATCCCAAGGCCGTGACACCCCGCCACTGCCACCACTATCTGCCTGCACGGGAGGAAGCAAGCACGCACGCGAACACAGACAGAACAGACGACGCAGGGGAGAGGAGGCAGGATGTTCGGTGGCTGATCCCAAGGCCGTGACACCCCGCCACTGCCACCACTATCTGCCTGCACGGGAGGAAGCAAGCACGCACGCGAACACAGACAGAACAGACGACGCAGGGGAGAGGAGGCAGGATGTTCGGTGGCTGATGCCAAGGCCGTGACACCCCGCCACTGCCACCACTATCTGCCTGCACGGGAGGAAGCAAGCACGCACGCGAACACAGACAGAACAGACGACGCAGGGGAGAGGAGGCAGGATGTTCGGTGGCTGATCCCAAGGCCGTGACACCCCGCCACTGCCACCACTATCTGCCTGCACGGGAGGAAGCAAGCACGCACGCGAACACAGACAGAACAGACGACGCAGGGGAGAGGAGGCAGGATGTTCGGTGGCTGATCCCAAGGCCGTGACACCCCGCCACTGCCACCACTATCTGCCTGCACGGGAGGAAGCAAGCACGCACGCGAACACAGACAGAACAGACGACGCAGGGGAGAGGAGGCAGGATGTTCGGTGGCTGATCCCAAGGCCGTGACACCCCGCCACTGCCACCACTATCTGCCTGCACGGGAGGAAGCAAGCACGCACGCGAACACAGACAGAACAGACGACGCAGGGGAGAGGAGGCAGGATGTTCGGTGGCTGATCCCAAGGCCGTGACACCCCGCCACTGCCACCACTATCTGCCTGCACGGGAGGAAGCAAGCACGCACGCGAACACAGACAGAACAGACGACGCAGGGGAGAGGAGGCAGGATGTTCGGTGGCTGATCCCAAGGCCGTGACACCCCGCCACTGCCACCACTATCTGCCTGCACGGGAGGAAGCAAGCACGCACGCGAACACAGACAGAACAGACGACGCAGGGGAGAGGAGGCAGGATGTTCGGTGGCTGATCCCAAGGCCGTGACACCCCGCCACTGCCACCACTATCTGCCTGCACGGGAGGAAGCAAGCACGCACGCGAACACAGACAGAACAGACGACGCAGGGGAGAGGAGGCAGGATGTTCGGTGGCTGATCCCAAGGCCGTGACACCCCGCCACTGCCACCACTATCTGCCTGCACGGGAGGAAGCAAGCACGCACGCGAACACAGACAGAACAGACGACGCAGGGGAGAGGAGGCAGGATGTTCGGTGGCTGATCCCAAGGCCGTGACACCCCGCCACTGCCAGCAGCATCGGCCAGGAAAGGAGAAACGGCATGGCGAGGCAGGGAACCAGACACGATTGACGCCTTGTGGGTGGGCAGAGAGAACGGGAAAGGACGGATGGCGCTCGCCGGCTATGGACCGTACTGAAGAGACCTCAATTCCTTTGGAGCGCACCTGAAGAGGCAGGTGGCGTGGGGCTCGGGCATGCCGTTGAAGTGCGCGATGTAGTCGAAGAGGTCGCCGTGCCCGCACGCCTCCATCACCACGTGCACCGCGTGCGCCTCCTCTATCACCTCCTCCACGCGCACCACGCCCGGCAGCCCGCGCACCGCCAGCAGCACGTCCACTTCCGATCGCAGGGAGTCTATGTGCTGCGCGGACTGGCGGTGAGGAACGGTGGAGGGCGGGAAGGACATGGGAAGGACATGGGAAGGGCGGGAATGGAGACGTGACGATAAACACGTGCGCGTGCAGGCACAGCGTGGGGCTCCGCACCCACCTCGTCCACTCACACCACGCACGGCAGCTCCCCCACAGCATCATATGCGCCTCACGATTCACGCGAGGAGGACGCGAGCGCTGTGTAGACTAGGTAGGCGAGCATGCCACATCCATAACGAGACGGGTGCATGAGACGGTACTATAAGGGTGCAGGTGCACGGTGCCAATGATGCGTATAGGGATAGATGCGACTGCCAAAGTTGATAATAACGAAGGTGCAAATGCCATTGCGGCAGCTGTTCGGCTTTCAGCAGCTGGAATATTCAGAGGAGTGAATCTAAAATTGTCCGCGGTTTCCCTGAAGACCTAGCCTCGGGATTAACCGCGGGGCCGCGACAGCAAAGCAGGCCAGCTTCCGACGCGCCTAGTGGCCGCGGCAGCAAAAAGGTCAGCACGTTGGCTTGGATTCTGGAGAGTCGCTATTCTATACCCGAGCTTGAAAGAAACGAGGAGATAAATAACCGTTACAGCTTACGCGATGATATCGCGGCCACAAATTCAAGAGACACCTTTGGCACGTAAAGAAGAGACGACGGAGACCCAGCGGACGGCGACGCACGTGACGCACCTGTAACGAGCTCTTGCTTATGGACTTGCACACGAACGGTCGATTGGACGCTCTGTGTCTACACCTCCGCACGACGCCGAAACGACCCCGACCTATTTCCTCATTTTCCAGCAGAAAATTCCGGTGAAGAGAACCGGAAAATCGAGGCGACAGCAGCCGCGGAGGGGTAAATGACCCTCCTGGGAATCCCTGTAGGCTGCTTAGTGCTCCCAAAGCGTGCTGTACTAATAGGTCTGGAGGTGCTGACCCCATTTTCGGTCTTCTTGATAGTATCGACAGAATAATGAAATAATACCTAAAATAATAATAATAATAATAAGTCACGATTACGACGAAACATTAACAACGTCGAAGCTGCTACCGTTGACCGACATGACAACTAACAGAAACCCGCGATGCTACGGCCTACTTTAGGAGCTCTAAGGCGACGTTCAGGGTCCAACGTGTGCTCTAAGGCGATATTAGGGTTCCAACGGAATGAGTGAATTTTGGATAGTGCCCCCGGGGTCCACCAAAAGTGACCCCACGTCTGAAGTCCAGGCGCAAGCGGAGTATCAGGGGGGGCGCGCAGGATGAACAAATCTAGGTGGGTGGGAGAATACAGTACGAGGACGTGATCTTTTTCGGTCCGAACAAGGTTTCCGCGAAAAGGGTATCCAGCTCACCTTTCGGACCCGGTTCCAGCTCGTTATCAAATTGGAGGTCATGCGAGGATCCACCAAAGCGGGATACCGTTTGCGTAAGAGTTCGCACTGTGAAAAGACAGAAAAGCTAAACACTCCGATGTTTCTTTCGGAATGAAAAACTTGATGATGACGTGACGTAGCGTGGCGAGGCGAGGTAAATAACTTTGGGAGGTGGGTGAGGATGCTACGGGACAGATTTGAGAAACTGTACATAAAGTGCGGAAAGGAAAGCATGGATGATGTGGAAAGTGTAGGAGTATGGATAGATACTTACTGTTCCTTGAACATGAGGTGCACATCCCGCCCCCCCATGGCGAAAAGGACCGAAGATTCTTCCCTACAGCAGTATCAAGGACGATCAGCGGGCCTGGTTGTGTGGTGAAAAATGCGGTTTGGATGCGGTCAAGCCGTTGGGGAAATACTCATGCAGGGTCGCTTTTAAAGATGTTCTGGCTTAGAGGCCCTTCCTAAAAGAGTCCATTTTCCACGAGTACACCTGGGCTCCGATAATTTCAAAAAGTGGGCACCGAGCCGCGTCCTTGTCGTTTTGCCCTGGGGTTGAAATTGGAGGGAACAAAAAAGTTCCCTCCAATTTCAACACTTTCACAAAAGATTTAGGGGTTTCTGACTCTTCGGAACTGTGCGAGAGCGGTTGTACTCGGTTTAGGGTATCGGAGGGTTGTTGGGTGGACCGAACAGCTCTCAACCAGGAGCCACAAGCGACGACAAGGGTCTTGAAATTGGAGGGAATGAAATTATCGGAGCCCAGGTGTAGAATTTTCACACAAGTCCTAGGTGTATCCCCTCCTATACAGTCCCCTATTTGGCGGGAAATCTTGCATCGACTGAATCATTGCACGAATCAGTTCCGCCGCCAATCAGATGACGCAAATCGAACCTGTCAGAACAATCAAGGAATATAAAAATAAAGAAAGTTTTGATTCACTAATTACTTTTAAAATTGTTATTGTCAGTTTATCTTGACCGCGCTTGTGTCTAAATCCTGTTGCGCGGTTCCCCGCGAGCTCGACGATGCCATCTCATTAATCTCGCTTATAGAGTAAGGCGAAAAAAGCTGTCTTTCATTTCGGCCTTGAACATGATTGAATCTGTATTTTTCTGCCTGTTTTTCCTGCGATATTGATCAACGCGGCGAACTGTGCAACGTAAAGTTGAAGACAGCGTGGTTCGAATGTACGTATGTGACAAGGAAAAATGACTAGTAGCGGAAAAAAATCGCTCTTCATGCAATTTTCCTTATATGGGACTATAAGTTCCCTTTTGCCCGGGTTTGTGAGTTTTCCACAAAGGCCCGCAGCGCGCGTGTTTTTCACGGGGACTCTAATCGAGAACATCTGTACGTAAAAAGGGTGCTGGCAAGAAACTATTGGTTGGTGTATAAAACCCGGGGTCCAAGAATCTCTAAGTTAGGAAAGTTGCTTGGGGCAAGAAAGGTGACTCGCTCGCGAGCCAGGGTGTTGGGACAGGTTTCGCCAAGCAAAGTTACTGTCCTAGATACCGAAGTGAAAGGCCCCGCCCTCGCTTGGGCCCAGACATTCTTTGCGACGACGTGGTGAATTCGACGAAGTGATCGTCGCATTGGATCGACCCGTCCTCTGAATCCGCGATGGGTTTTCGAGGAGGTGGTCATCCAATTCACCAGCCCATCGACGAGCTCTGGTCGACGGGGTGCCGTTCGACGAGCTCGTCCTATGATATGCTAGTGAGTCGCGCGATCTCTGACGGACGGGGTGCAGTCCGAAGAGCCTTGTTCTCTGATCCAAGGGCACCGCTCGGCGAGCCTCGTCTCGACGAACTGGTCGGCCGAATTCGCGCGACTGCGGAACTCCGCGAAGGCATGCGAAATTCGCTCTGTCAGAACTAGCAGCAGAAACAAGAATGAAGAAAGGAGGGTTTGCACTAGCAGCAGTTGAGATACATATAGCAAACCCTAATTGGGTTGTACTCGCTATAGAGTACCCCACTGCAGGCTAGACAATAATAACATTCTGACACACCCCCATAGTCAAAGTGGGGTATAATCAGAAGCACAATAGTTCACAAGCACAAGCAAAGCTAAAAGGGAGTCACAGAGGGCAAGTGAGGAGGAGGAGTGATTGTGAGAGGAGAGTAGATTGGAGGCGACGGCTGAAGCTGCAGGCGCACGGGCAACAGAAGCGGCTGGCACAGTGGCTACCGGAGCAAGGGCCCCGGACTACTGGAGTAACAGACTCCGCGGCTACGATGAGCGGCAGGAGCTACGGACCCACGGGCGACTGGCGCAGCAGGCTCGCTGGGCTACCGAGAGCAAGGGCTCCGGACTACTGGCGCTGCTGGTGACACGACGGCTACCTCCGCACAACCTCCCCAAACAGTCCCACTCCCTTTCCACACACCCCCTGCTGCACCCCTAGCTCCACTCCCCCGTCACCCCCCTTAAACCCTAAACCCTCGGCTCCCACACACCCACCCCCCTCAGCGGCAGCTGCAGCAGTGGGAGACGGAGGAGGAGGAGTTGCAGGTTACCCACACCGGTCACCCCCATGCCCGCCACCCCCAAACCCTAACGCAGGCAGGAGCGCGGGAAGCAGCAGGGGCGGTTCACGGAGGGAAAGGGAGGCGGCGGGGGGTCTCCTGGCCGCCACGAAGGAGCAGGGCGCGGGCCCCCCGAGGGCGCCACGGCGGGTGACGGGAGGGGGGCCGCGCACTGGCCCCCGAGGGCGGCTCGACGGGCGACGGGAGGGGCCGCGCGCGGGCCCCCAAGGCGCCGCGACGAGGCGACGGGAGGGGGGCGGCGCGCGGGCCCCCAAGGCGCCGCGACGAGGCGACGGGAGGGGGCGACGCGCGGGCCCCCAAGGTGCCGCGACGAGGCAACGGGAGGGGGGGACGCGCGGGCCCCCAAGGCGCCGCGTCGAGGCGACGGGAGGGGCCGTCGCGTGGGCCCCCAGGGTGCCGCGACGAGGCGACGGGAGGGGGCGGCGCGAGGGCCCCCAGGGTGCCGCGACGAGGCGACGGGAGGAGGGCGACGCGCGGGCCCCCAGGGCGCCGCGACAGACAGGGCGGGGGCTGCGCGCGGGTCCCCCACGGTAGGAAACCGCAGCGTGCCTCGGGGCGCACGGCAGGCAGGCGCGCGGCGGGATGAAAAAACGCCGCGCGCTCCGGGCGCGCGGCAGGAACAAAGGGTCACGCGCCCGGGGCGCGCGACAGCAGTAGAGCAGCGGAAGCAGTTAGGTGGTGGGCCCACCCACAGGATCGACCCAAGGGGGTCGACCTGCTCTGAAACCATGTCAGAACTAGCGGCAGAAACAAGAATGAAGAAAGGAGGGTTTGCACTAGCAGCAGTTGAGATACATATAGCAAACCCTAATTGGGTTGTACTCGCTATAGAGTACCACACTACAGGCTAGACAATAATAACATTCTGACACGCTCAGGTGGCTCTTAGCGAAATTTCACCTACGGAATGGCATTACGTGTTCGACGGTGGACACCTGACGAAACCGTCGGAACGTTTTCTACCTGGCACCTGCGCAATGTCTCTGACGGTGCAACCGTCTACCTGCACCTACTCGGCAGGTGCACACCTGCGCAGATATTCACCTGCGAATGCAGCGCTGGCAGGCCGCCCTGCTGCAGCGCTGACATGTCGTCCTTCTGCTACGCTGGCAGGCCGCCTTGCTGCAGCGTTGGCGAATCTCTCTGATGCAGTGCTGGCAATTCGCCTTGCTGAATTCTTGCTAGGGGTTCCAATGCCGTTCTAGTCATATCACTTGCCTGCCTCTTTTTTGTACTCAAATTCTCAATTTCTCAATGTTCCTTTCAACTTTCTTAGTGGAAACTTTTGCCAATTTTCTCTGTTAACACAACAAGTAGTAAGAACTTTGTTAGAGCGCTACGATCACCCGCACAACCTCGTGCCCTCCTTCGTAGTCCACCCCGTTGTAGGGTGACTCTCCGCATGGTGCGGTGAGCGTGGAACGACCCCGCGTTAGAACCTTCAGATTAGACAACATTTCGCTCTATACCTAAGTCGTTGTAGGCAACCATCTAGACCGCCATGGACGACCAAGGAGTCGATGGGAGAAAAGGATACCCTGCAGGCGCGGTTGGATGCTGTTCGGGCACGCCACGAGGCTGGCGGGTACGGCGAGGTGGACATGGAAATTTTGCTCCTTGGAACTCGTGCGCAGTGGGCGCGTGAGCATCCCCCTCCCCGTGCTGAAGCGGACGGCGCGTCCGCCTCTCCCCGACCCGTGCACAATGAAGGTGACGGCGGCAATGTTGTCGGCGAAGGAAGCACGAGGGTTCGTGGAGTGATTCGGGTCGTTGACGTCGGCGTTGGCGGAGTGCAGTCGCAAGTGCTGCGGTCGACGGCGGCTGTAGGCAGCTCGAACGGCAACATCGATGGTCGACGTCATTCTCCTCAGCGAAGTGGAGTCAGGCCGATTTCGGCGACTCGTGCGTCGGCTGGTCGTGACGGAGGCATCGCGCCGGCATACGGCTACTTCAAAATCTTGCCGGACAAGATCGCTGTGCCGAAGCTGCTCGAAGGACGCCACGATTTAA